TTATTGCAGTATGGTTGCTTTACAATGTTGTCTTAGCCTCCACCACATAACAAAATGATTCAGCTATACACATACAGATATCCCCTCCCTTCTGGACTTCGCTCCTATTTAGGTTACCACAGTGCATTAGGTAGTGTTCCTGGTGCTATACAGTATGTTCCCATCAGTTGTCTGTTTTATACGTAGTACCTGTTACTGATTTCTAACTCATTCTCTTAGGGTCAGAGAAGATGCTTTGTATATCTATCATTTAAAATCTCTTGAGAAGTAATCTGTGGCCTAACATACGGTCTATCCTGGAGAACATCCCATGTGTACTTGAGAAGAAGGTGTGTTCTGTTGTTGGGGGGAGTTCTGGATACGTCTGTTAGATCTAGTTGGTTGATTGTGTTGTTCAAGTCCTCTGTTTCTTTCTTTATCTTCTATCTGGTTGATGCTTGCTAATGTATTTTTAAATTACTAAATAAAATTTATATTATTTTGAACAATTTAAATTCAGAATTGATATTTAACCACAAAAGTAGCTTTAGAATCTTCACATTATTGGTGAGCTTTTCTTTCTTTGTGAAGATCACACCTACAGGTTGCTTGCCCGTTTTTTATTGCGAAAGAGAAGTAAATGCGCAATTCGAGTCTCTAGTGAGTTGACCGTGGAGACTAACCCCCAGGGCCCTTAGCCAGCCACTTATTCCTCAGTGACTGGGTCTGCTTTTCTAAGAAAATGTAAAGATGGGCTTGTAAGACTTGAATGCAGGTCTTCATGTACGTGGCGGTGGACACTGCGTCTGGAGCCGGGTCCTGGGAGCTCGGGGCAGCGCGGTCGGAGTGGGCACCTTGAAGAGAGCTGGGGGGCCCTGTGGGGGGCCTGGCACCTTGTGCGGACCTGGCAGCAGTGGGGCGCCCTGGCTGGTGTCCCCTGAAGAGGCCGGGAGGGAGCGCTTGGGGCGGGGCTGGAGGAGGGGCCCCGGAGGCCAGCAAAGATGTCCAGCACAAGCTTATTTTTCCGTGTTTTTCTCTAGAGTTAGAAAAGGAAGCAGCTGACCAGAAAGAGCTGATTTTAAAAAAAGAAAGCCCTTTCCTGAAGCACTGTCTTCATGGATCGTTCTCTGAGGGCACAACAGACGCGTTGGAAAAGAGGCTTCTGCTCCCGCCCGCGCCGTCCCCTCCACAGGGGTGTGGCCGGATGGGGGCGGGGCCCACCTCGGGGTCAGAGGCCACTCAGCCGGGGCGAACCGGCGGGTCCTGCAGCAGCAAGCTTTCTGAGGGGGGTCAGGTGGGGGGGAAACTGAGGGGGAGCGAGGATGCCCTTCCCTCTCTGCCCCCAGAGGGCCCCCCACCCGGGAGAGGCCCCCCCATCCAGACCTGGCCTCCTCACCGCCCTCTCGTGTGGATACTCCGTAGCAGTGCCTAGTTTCCACTGGGCAAAACAAAGAAGATACAATGTGTGAATCGCCTGCACTCTGGGTGGGATTAACTCTCCACCTTGCACACGCGAGCAAGTCTGATGGCTGCTGTGAGGCTTTTGGACGGGGCTCCGGTACTTGGTGAGGGTCGGACCACGTGGTCCTCGTAGCAGGATCGCAGGGACTGCAGCCGTGTCACAGTCCCAGCTGTCGGCCCAGCCTGTGACTTCAGTGTTTGTCCAGCCTGACATCTTACACCCTCATTTTAAAGACTTTCCATAAGTTTGGATTGATTTACTTTTAACATTAGGACTTGTGTTACAGGTGAGGAAGCATATAAAAAAGGAAAATACCATGGCTTTAAACATGCCTTTTATTATGGGAGATTTTATTTTTTAATAACAAAGGATGTAGTCTTTTATTATTTTTAAAAATTATTTTTTAAAGATTTAATTTTATTTATTTTTGACCGCGTTGGGTCTTCGTTGCTGCACGCGGGCTTTCTCTCGTTGTGGTGAATGGGGGCCACTCTTCATTGCGGTGCACAGGCTTCTCATCGCGGTGGCTTCTCTTGTTGCGGAGCACGGGCTCTAGGCACGAGGGCTTCAGTAGTTGTGTCTCGCGGGCTCTAGAGGCTCAGTAGTTGTGGCGCACAGGCTTAGTTGCTCTGCGGCATGTGGGATCTTCCTGGACCAGAGATCAAACCTGTGTTGCCTGCATCGGCAGGCGGCTCCCTATCCACTGTGCCACCAGGGAAGTCCCGGGAGATATTAAATGTACAGAGAAGCAGACAGAATAGCACAGCGGTCCCCTGTGAGCCCATTTCTAGCCTCAGCAGTTTACCAGTTCCAGGCCCATCTTGTCCCATTAATCACTCTGCCCAATCCTCCCAAGTCATTTTGAAGAAAATCCCAGACATGCTATCATTTCATCTGTACATATTTCAGTGTGTAGCTCTAAAAGATAAGGCCTCTTTTAAAAATATATTAAAAAAAATTTTTTTTTTGGCCGTGCTGCACAGCATATGGGATCTTAGTTCCCCCACCAGGATCAAACCTGCACCCTCTGCATTGGGAGCACGGAGTCTTAACCACTGGACCGCCAGGGAAGTCCCAAGCCTCTTTTAAAAAAGTGCAATTATGACACCTGTGCCTTTTTTTAAAGTATCATTTTTGTGGTATAATTTGACATACAGTTAAGTTGCACATATTATAGTGTACAGTGAGTTTTGACCTATGTCTACACCCATGAAACTGTCACCTCAGTCGAGATAGCAAAGTATCCCTTCCCCTGTCATTCTCATTTTCCTTTGTGATTTATTGGTTGAAGAAGCTGGGCTTTGCCCTGTAGACTTTCCCAGAGTCTGGATTTTGCCCACCGTGCCCCCACGGTGGGGTTTAGCACGCTCCTCTGTTCTCTGTGCTCCGTAAGTTGGTAGTTGCAGCTGGAGGAGGGCCGGGTTCTGGCTTGCTTTTCTTGACAGGACCCCTTCAGAGGAGTCACATAGCACATCTGGGTCTATGATAGCACAGCTGTGGGTGGTCAGTGACCAGACATGGGAATTCATCAGGGTTGTACACGGCGATGCCACACACCCTGAGTCCTTCATGGATCGGCAGGAACACCTCTAAAAAGTGGGACAGAGAGGGACTTCCCTGGTCCAGTGGTTAAGAATCCTCCTTCTGGGGGCTTCCCTGGTGGCGCAGTGGTTGGGAGTCCGCCTGCCGATGCAGGGGACGCGGGTTCGTGCCCCCGTCCGGGAGGATCCCACGTGCTGCGGAGCGGCTGGGCCCGTGAGCCATGGCCTCTGAGCCTGCACGTCTGGAGCCTGTGCTCCGCAATGGGAGAGGCCACAGCAGTGAGAGGCCCGCGTACCGCAAAAAAAATAAAAATAAAAAATATTTAAAAAAGGAATCCTCCTTCCAATGCAGGGGACGCGGGTTCAATCCCTGATCGGGGAACTAAGATCCCACATGCCAAGGGGCAACTAAGCCAGCGTGCCACAACTACTGAGCTGGAGCGCTCTAGAGCCCGCGCCACAACTAGAGAGCCCACTCGCCACAGTGAAAGATCCCACATGCGCAACTAAGACCCAATGCAGCCAAATAAATAAATAAAACAAAGTGGGACAGGGAGTCTGCACAGGAAGGCCGCTGAAAGGCTCGACGCTTTCCTGTCGTGTCCTCGTTTTCAAAAGACTGTGTTGGCATCATCCATCCAGTGGTGACCAGTTAATTTCTTTTTCAGCATTTCTGTGAACTCAGGGACTTAAATGTATGGAATGTGTTCCATCCGTCTGGCTGTTCACGGGGCCCACATTGTCCCGTTGTCACAGTGGGAACCTCTGTAGGTTCGACTGAGCCTTTTGACCTGACCCCAGTCGTCCTGCCAGCTTCCTGCTGCCTGTAGAGGGACCCGAGTCCTGGACTGAGCCATTTCTCCTCCAGGAAACACTGGTTCCTTTTAGTGGCTTCTAGAGATCAAATATATTGCAGGATGTTGTAGATGGGACCTGTCATATCAGAGAGGAATCAGAAGCAAGTAATAACAGCTTCTCTAATTTGCCAAAGAAAACTCAACCATCAGCTACTGAGTGAGGCTTTGAATGGGTGTTTCCAGAAGCTGCATAGGTGTCCGGTTCTGCTGGCTGGTTGGGAAATTGGGAAAGGAAAAGGAAACTCTGGAAGAGCCTTTTGGGGAAGGAAGAGCGGAATGACCTAATGCCAGTTTGTTGCATAATGTAGACGCTCACATGTGCTCAGGATGGAGCCCAGAGATGAGCGCTTTGGAGGTGTCACCAAGCTCCGTGTGGCCACTCCAAGGACGGAGGACGCATCCCCCCTCGGGACCACCCGTTCCTTCACTGCCCTCAGAACTGGAGGAGAGCTCTTGGTCCCGTCGCTACGTGGCTCACACAGTTAAATATGGGTCTCTGCTTATTTTCATAAAAAGTCAAACCTTTTGGGATCAGGTTGACCTCTTGCTTCAGTCTCTTGCCATTTATGAAATACTGCACTTCATGATGGGAGAAGTTAATATGCATGAGTTCTACTAAAATATTGAGCTCAAATAATTTTGAGAAAATTTAAGTTGATTACAGTTTATACTGATAACAGCCAACTTACACAGCAGTCTTAATTCTCTAGAATTGAAAATTGGTTTCAGGTTGATGTGAAATAAATGTTTTCACATAACTTTGCATTTATTTATAACCGTTTGTTCCAGCTTCTGGTAAAGATTTGCAGTGGCCGTCAGCGGAGGTGTGTTGGGGCCCCAGCGTGTGGATGCCTCACCTTAGCTAACCTGCCTCTCGACGTGTCCACGCGCCCCCAGATTAGCCGTTTCACTGCTTCCCTGTATAGTGTAGTGGCTTTTAAAGTAACTTCAGGTAGTGGTTCCTTGTTGACGTGCTGCCCGTTGACGGATGCGGGTATCATGACTGTTTCCTCTTGTGTGAGATCCGTCCTTTTACTTCTTTGCTCAGATGTAATTGAGATTGACCTCAAGAATGGTGAATGGGTATTTTTAAATGTTTCTAAACCATACAACTTCGGAAAGCTAAGTATACCAAAATGTTTGGGTTTTTTTTCCCTTTAGGTCTCCAGTGCCTATTGGATTTTCACCTTAAAAAGTTCAGAGCATGAAATTTCTTACACTGTCGATGTAGATCCAGTACAATGATTCAGTAGAAGACCCTACAGATCAGGGGGCGGAGGAGCCTGGCACTGAAGGATGAACGGAGAGGAGGAGTTCTTCGATGCCGTCACAGGTGAGCGGAGGGAGAGGCAAGTTCAGAGATCGTGTCGTGAGCACGAAGCCCCGGGACCCAGGCCTTGGAGGTAGCCCGGGGACGTGAGGACGGCCCAGGAAAACTGTGTGGAGAGAGAGCTGACATGTTCCAAGGCACCAGCCTTCAGTAAAAGCATGTGTCCTATCCTAGGTTTGGGGGAAAACATCACCTTTGGACCACTAAAGATAACAAGAAAGGGCAACTGTGCTTTAGTCTTTAAGAGTTGCCCTGGGGTGTAAATATTTTTATTGGGATCCTAAGTGAGATGGCCAGCATTCTTATATTATTTATACTTAATGATCAAAAGCGTATTGTCCTGTCTCATAACTGTATCGTGTTTTGCGCTGCTTAAAGTCTACCCAAAAATGTACCTGCTTTAATTTACAACAATTTAATTTACAACAATTTAAAGTACATTTACCTGCTTTGGCAGCAGCTCTCACCGTGTCAGAGTTCAGCTCTGTTTCGCTTCTCACACACCACTGTGAGTGCTGGTACACAGCCTGGTGGGCACAGTGCATGGCGGGGTGGCAGGCGGAGGAGAGGCGGGCTGGGTTGGCTCACATTTGCTTAGAACAACCCCTCCTCGTCCTTTTCCCGCCTGAGGGACAGATGACCACAGGGGGCCCCAGAACTCACGTTCAAGACGCCCCCCTCCCCCCCCAACCCCGTTGTCTGCCCTCCACCCTCCTCGTCAGCAGGGGGAGCATCACTTTGCTTTTTCTAGTGAGGGGTCCCCTTGGTGGAGACGGACTTCAGGAGACTCTTCCAGCCCATGCCCCCCTCTCAGGTGTGGGAACATAGAAACAGCAGCTCTGAAATATTACTGCCGCCGGGTTTTTCAGCGCTAACCCTCCCAAGGGCAGTCAGAGGGGCACTTCCGTAATCAGTGCCGAAAGCGCGTGGTGCCCAGCACGACAAAACGCTCTTTCCTGAGCACTGTCACTGTTCCCCGGGACACCTTTGCCGTCCTTGCTGGCGCTCCTGTCTCGTGGAGCCCTGGCCCTGTGCTCCCGGGTGTTCAGCGGCCATGCTTCTCCTGAGTGAAGGGTTGGAGCAGGTTGAGGGATGGGCAGCCCGAGATTATTGACTTATTCTTGTCCGAAGCCCCAGGAGGAGCAGGCCCTGAGCTCATCGCTGTTTTCAAAGGCTGAACTGCTGAGCCATCTTATCTTCCGTGACTTCATAGCTATTGTGTTCCTTGTAGACGTGTTTTCCTGGGAAGCGTGCTTGTCTGCTTAACCCGCACGCCCATCAGTAGTCTTTCTCGCAGTTGAATTCCCACCAAGCGGGGTGTTTGTCAGGGAGTCATGCCCTCAGGCCACCTGGCCCTCGCAGGCTGACCACGTCTGAGACCAAGCGGGCCCGGCCTCGGCGTGGCCTTCTCACCCGGGAGCCTCCTGGGAAACTCCCTTTCACCTGGGACCAGTGTAGATACTCCGGAAGGTCTTTCCCCAGAGAGGGCTTGAACTGCCTGGAGTGCCGTGTGTAGGTGATCCCATCCCTGCCTCTCCGCACGGCGGGACCTCTCTGCGTGTCCCTGAGATGCAGGCGGAAGAGGCAGATGTCTAGGTGAAAATAATTCCTCGCCTCAGCCCTTTGGTTCCCAAGCAAATAACAGAAAGACAAAAAATATGAAGTCTCCCAATGCAATGAAATACCCAGTCAGTGACTACTTCACTGTTTATAGAATCGGCCTTACTTTGTGACTCTAATTTAAAAAGTGTTTAAACCCAGCAGTTATTAAATGAATGACTTCACTAGGCAATTACTGGGGCTTCCCTGGTGGCACAGTGGTTAAGAATCCGCCCGCCAATGCAGTGGACACGGGTTTGAGCCCTGGTCCGGGAAGATCCCACATGCCGCGCAGAGCAGCTAAGCCCGTGCGCCACAACTACTGAGCCCACAAGCCACAACCACTGAAGCCCACGCCCCTAGAGCCCATGCTCCACAATAAGAGAAGCCACCGCAGTGAGAAGCCCGCGCACCGCAACGAAGAGGAGCCCCCGCTCGCCACAGCTAGAGAGGGCCCGTGCGCAGCAATGAAGACCCAACGCAGCCAAAGTAAATAAATAAACAAATAAATTTTTAAAAGATAGGCAATTACTTCCTACAAGAATCAGTACCTTTATTTACTTATTTTCAGTGGTTGTGGCTTTTGGGCTCAGTAGTTGCCACGTGAGGGCTCTAGAGCACAGGCTCAGTAGTTGTGGTGCGCGGTCTTAGCTTCTCCGCGGCATGTGGGATCTTCCCGGACCAGGGCTCGAACCCGTGTCTCCTGCATTGGCAGGCGGATTCTTAACCACTGTGCCACCAGGGAAGTCCAAGAATCAGTACCTTTAAATTGAAAGGTTTTAAAGTACATGAAAAATATGTACAGATTAAGGGTTGTAAAAAGTCAGACTAACCCGTCAAAGGTGGGTATCTCTGAGTGATCAGATTACAGATGATTTCAACTTTCTCCTTTGCTTGTCTGTATTTTCTTTTTCTATAATAAACATGTGTTGTATATTAAAGTGTTTAAACTGTTACGTAGTGTTGGCTTCATCAGAGACAAGACTTCAATGCGCTTGTCAGCGAGGAGCTGCCTTGTTTTCTTGGGCACACACCAGGGTTGTGATTTAAACGAACTTTCTACTTGACGCTGGCCCAGAATCTCAGCCCTGAGGGAGGTCCTCGGAGATAGGGACACCCGTGCAGGGTAACACCAGGTCCATAGGGCTGAGCATCCTTAAGCGGGGACTGCTTCAGGCTAAGTTTAGACTGGGGATTAGTAGATGTTGCTTTGGGGATAGTTAGCAAAAACTAGAGGTGACAGGCTATTTCAGAAAGCATTGATTATATAAGAGGTTCATTTTTTTAAAAATTAATTAATTATTATTCTTGGCTGTGTTGGGTCTTCGTTGCTACATGTGGGCTTTCTCTAGTTGCGGCGAGCGGGGGCTACTCTTTGATGTGGTGCGCGGGCTTCTCATTGCGGTAGCGTCTCTTGTTGCAGAGCACGGGCTCTAGGTACGTGGGCTTCGGAAGTTGTGGCTTGCGGGCTCCAGAGCGCAGGCTCAGTAATTTTGGCGCACGGGCTTAGCTGCTCCGCAGCATGTGGGATCTTCCCGGACCAGGGCTTGAGCCCGTGTCCCCTGCATTGGCAGGCGGATTCTTAACCACTGTGCCACCAGGGAAGTCCAAGAGGTTCATTTTTAATATGTCCTTTCAAATTCATTGTGTAATAAATCTCAATACTACTGTATTTTGTGCACCTGTCAATATAGAAGAATACGAAGGAAGGTTATTTTTGCGTTTTCTCAAGGAGGCTTATTAGCAGCAGGTTTGTTTATGTTTTGTGTCTGACCATAGTCACCACCTGGCCTGTGACCCTGGGCCTCGCCTTCCTCTCGGAAATGAGGGGCTTTTATGGGAACCCTGAGCTCCTCGTGGGCTGTGCCCTCGCTGAAGTAGTCAAGGTCATCGATAGTCAGTGGTCAGGAGCTCCCCACCCCAGCTGGAAGGACTTGCCCTGGCAGCCACAGCTCCCGTCCAGGCCTGCTGTGGAGCAGAACTTGAGTATTTTCAGTGGATTGCACTGGCTGAGTTGAGAGGAAACACACTTTCCTTTTCCCTGTAGTCACTGGTCGCTTTGGGAGAAAGCGTTCCCGATGCAGAAGGGGCACGGAGCACAGCCCAGGGTGGTGTTACTCTTACTCGGCGGATGGGATGGGCCAGGAGCCCGCACGACTGTATTTCACACAGGTCCTAGTAGTTCACTTTCCCCGAGGTTTCCACGTACGTGGCGTGCCCTCTGCGTTCGCAGCCACCGTCTGCTGTTCCGGTTTCTGTTGGCTGGTTCTGGCGGTTCTGGCGGTGTGTTTGCGCGGAGCTCGGACTTAGAAACACGGCAGCAGGTTGTGTTTCAGGACGTGACGCGGAGCTTGACTGCGGCTTGTGCGGAGGAGGGAGGGGTTGCAGCCTGAGTTAGGTGACAACACCACAGAGGTGGCCGCCCCGGAGGGTATGGTCATTGACGACAACAGGGGAAACCTGTCCTAGTGCCCAGGAGCTGCCCCCCACGTAAGGACCTGGAGAGTGTGGCGCTGGTGGCAGGGTGGTGGCCTCATGCGGGGAGCCCCCGGGAGCGGTCCTCGTGCTCCGCCTCGACCTTCGGTTCTTGGGAAGAAGCGTTCATTACTCTGGACGTGTCGGTCAGAAGCACTCTTGAGCTTCAGGTGCCTGCTTGCAGAGTGAGAATTCTTAGAGGTAGGCTTTTCCATCTTCCAAGCCCTGCAGAAGTTACCACTCTGCTTGTCTCGCACAGGCTTTGATTCTGATAACTCTTCTGGGGAATTTTCAGAGGCAAATCAGAGAGTCACTGGCGTGATTCATGTGGACACCAGCAAAAGTAATGGGATTGGAAAAGTTGGGGAGAGGCCTCCTCAAGAGAATGGAATTCAAAAGCACAGGTATGTCATCCCACATGGACGTTTTGGAGTCTCCCAGCGCGCCTGTCCTCGCCCCACATCTGCAGCGGGCCCTGAGCTGAAGGAACATCCGTCCCATGTCTCCTGGGCCCTGCCCCCTGGGCAGACCCAGGGCCCTGTTCAGCCAAAGACCCCGAGACCCACTGGCCCTATGCGTGCTCCCTGGAGATCAGTGATGGCGCCTCCTCAACGTGACCCCCGTCCGTAAGCGGACGGGCGGCCGTCCCTGCCCTGGGGTTGCTGGGGGACTGAGCTCCGTGGGCGCCCTAGCGTTGGCAGGGGGCCTGGCACAGAGCCAGAGGTCACTGGTATCAGACCCAACTGCTAGCTTCACGCAGAGCCGCCTGCGCTTGGCGCGTCGACCTCTCACCCCGTGAGTGAGTTTCGGAGGGTTGTTTGTGAGCGCAGCGAGACCGCAGTCCATTCTCTCCCCGCCAGCACTGCGTCCTCAGGCAAGCAGACTCTGATGAGTGACCTAAGCCTTCACAGCAGAAGGGGGGACGTAGGCGGGGCAGCCGTGAGTCAGGTGGGTGGAGATGGCGGCCTCTGTCCACCCCGCGCTGTTTGCGCTTCGGCTCCAGGGAGCCCAGCTTCACCCCAGATCTCTGCCCTGCACTGGCACCCAGTGCCCACCTGGGGCCCCGGAGCTGTCAGAGCACCTCCTGCCTGCTCGTGCGGCCTGGACCTCTGCTGTCAGCGCCCCGCACCCTGTAGGCGGGAATCTGACTCAAGCTGCCCGAGGGCCCGCTCCTCCCTCCCGCCTCCAGCCCCAGGCCTGACACGCTGGCCTCCAGACGCCCTTGGGTGCCTTCACCCGCCCGCTCCTGTCGCGGCCCCCTGCCACCACTGCTCCTGAATCCCCCAGGGAGGCGCCTCCTCACTGCTCCGCCCTCCCCCTTCCTTCCAGCCGCCCCAGAGAACAGGTCTGATTGTGCGCCTTCCCAGGCACGGCGCACGTGGCCCTGAGTGACGGGGACAGCGGCCCCTTTTCCTCTTTGAAGAGGCGGTTTGGGTCGTGAACAGTAAGGTTCTCCTCTTAGGCTGAGGACCTGCACCCTCGCCTCTCTCCTGGGGCGGCCCCTCCCGTGTCTGTGGTCCCAGCCTCTTGGGGTCCTCGGTGCACCTGGCCTGTCCCACGTCGGGGCCTGTGCCATGTCGGGGCTCCATGCCCCTGGCTCCGGCCCTCTGCTCCACCTCCATCTCTTCAGCTCCTGCCTCCCCAGGGTCATCCTTGGACCCCTTTCCCACCGTCCACAGAGCCACGCTCCTTCCTCACGGCTCCCTCGCAGTGGGGGCCCGTCCTGCCCTGGCCGCTCGGGGCCCCAGACGAGAGCTGGCAGAGTGGAGCCACGTGCTGGTTGCCGGCAGCCTGGCACGTGGTGCCTCATGAATGTCAGTTTTCTTTCCCATTTCGTCTCCCGCTGCCTTGCCCTCCTCTCCCACCTGCCCCCCCGGGCCCGTGGTCCCCCGACCCAGTTCACCGTGAGCAGGGTGTCCTGTGCCCGGGCTTCCCCGGCATCGGCGGGAAGACACCTGGGGAGGAAGGTGCCTCAGGAAAGACAAGCACAGGCTTCAAAGGGGTTTAAGAGCTGGTTTCTGAAAAGGTTTTCTCTTTCTTTTTCTTTTGGCCATGCTGCGTGGCTCGTGGGATCTTAGTTCCCTGACCAGGGATTGAACCCGTACCCCCTGCACTGGGAGCGCGGAGTCCTAACCACTGGACCGCCAGGGAAGCCCCCGAGGAGGTTTTCTTCATGCAGTTCCCTCGTGGGGTCCTCTGGGCTCCACCTCCGTCTGCAGCCCTGCTGCTGCTCCAGGCCGCTGGCACACGGCTGCCGGGGGACTCAGCGACCCGTCTCCCCAGCTCCGTGGAGGAAAGTCGCCTGTGTGGCCATGATTGCTTCCTAAGAGGCCCTCCAAAGATCGATGCAGAAAGCTTTCTTTGGGACTTCAGCAGCAGTCTGGTCCTTTTTTCTCTGCAGGCATGCCAGCATAGAGAAATGCTAATGCTTAGAAAGATCAAAGGAAGACATGGTCATTGTGCAAAACCATCAGTCATAAGTGACTCTCACGTTGGTTGAATAAATACATGTCACTCTGTTTACCCCTTTACAGGACGTCGTTGCCTGCTCCGATGTTTACCAGAAGTGATTTCAGCGTGTGGAGTATATTGAAAAAGTGCATTGGCTTGGTAAGTTCAGATGAACTCGTTTTGAAGTGTGAATCTTACACGTTTTCAATTCCTGTGAATTTATTGCACTACCGGTAGTTTAAGAAGATGCACTCTGCATAGTTACAAGCAGCATGGTGTAAAGATAGTAAAACAGGAAAGGAACAGATACAGGAGAGGAAAAGGTGAACAAAAGCTGAAGTATTAATACACAGCAGGACACCCATTCTGTGGGTTAATCTCTTGACATGAGGAGCTTCAGATGGGTTTACACTTACCTTGGTGTTTCATGATGTGCTCGTAGCCAGCTGGCTTTGGATAATCCTCATGAACTGGGGGGCTTTGGTGGGGTTCCTGGCCACTCACCAAGGGACCGAGGCTCCGTGTCCCCCAGCCCACCCACCCTGGGCTGCAGGCAGAGTAACAGGAAAGATAGTTGGATACTTAGTGTCCAGAAGTCGTAGGCCTTTCCTTTTATGGTCTTTCCTGGCTGTGAGACTCGGGACTGGTCCTTCTCGGGAGGGGAGAGCGCTGCCTTGAGCAGGCTGCAGCGTGCTCAGCCGCGGCCACGTCTGGTCACTCACACTCGGGCTGCGTGAGCTACAAAAAATGACTTCCCTGCTTCTCGGGTGGTCTTCAGCCCAGTCTTCTAATGCATTTATTTTTTGTCATCTTTTTATCTTGAAATAACTTGAGACTGCAGAATAGCGAGTCTTTTACCCTTCACCCAGCCTTCTGTAACGGCAGCATCTCACGTGAGAACCACAGCCCTCACTCTGGGGCGTTACTGTTAACTGCAGCGCGTACCTGACTGGGCTTTCCCCAGCTTTTCCACCAATGACGTTTGTTTGTTTTTTTTTAAAATTTATTTATTTTTACTTATTTTATTTTTGGCTGTGTTGGGTCTTCGTTGCTGCACGCAGGCTTTCTCTAGTTGCGGAGCACGGGCTCTAGGCGCAAGGGCTTCAGTAGTTGTGGCGCAGGGGCTCAGTAGCTGTGGCATGCTGGCTCTAGAGCGCAGGGCTTAGTTGCTCCGTGACATGTGGGGTCTTCCTGGACCAGGGATCGAACCTGTGTCCCCTGCATTGGCAGGTGGATTCTTAACCACTGAGCCACCAGGGAAGTCCCCACCGATGACCTTGTATTGGAGGATGGTGTGTAGAAACCGAGACCTGGGTGCTGGATGTGCTCATGGCTCCTGGGGTGTCACTGCTCCAGGCCTCTCAGCAGACAGAGCTGGAAAACCTAGGAGTGCACACTGAGCCCTGCTTGCTCACACACGTGTATCTGTACACACCTGTGATCTTTTAAAGTGACATGTTCAGGATTGTTTTCTTTTAGCACCATCCTCTCCTGCGTTTTCGACTGTGTGCACAATTCAGGTCTTCACAAAAGTGTCTATCTGGGAATGTGATGAACTCAACAAGCCACTCGGTCTTGACTCTTCAGATGTCTAAAACCAAAAGTCTCTTTTCAGCAGAGTGACATCATTGCATTGCACTCCCCAAGGAACTGACCGTAGGCTGGATTCAGAGTAAGGCTGGATGTAACACTCGGGGTTGGACGTCTGCATCTTGTTGGGTTGCACTGCCCCACTTCATAGCATCCATCCGCTGTCCCCCGTGAGCTGCTCATCTCTCCGGATGTACCTCCAGGGAGGTGACACACCTCTCTTCACTGCCCATCAGCTCATTGAAACAGCCACGGACTAGTGAACACGACAGTTTCCGACAGAGGTAGCCAGAATCTCACGAAGACCCCTGCCCGTCACCAGCCCTCACCACTGCCAGTCAGGGCTAATCATGCCTCCTCCCCCCTCCTCCCCTGGTATTTTGAAGCAAATTCCAAACACCTTTTCATTTGTGGACATGTCTTATATATCACTAAAGGATAAGGATTCTTTTTAAACACAACCACAATACTATTATCCTACTTTTTTTTTTTTGCGGTACGCAGGCCTCTCACTGTTGTGGCCTCTCCCGTTGCGGAGCACAGGCTCCGGACGCGCAGGCTCAGCGGCCATGGCTCACGGGCCCAGCCAGTCCACGGCATGTGGGATCTTCCCGGACCGGGGCACGAACCCGCGTCTCCTGCATCGGCAGGCGGACTCTCAACCACTGCGCCACCAGGGAAGCCCCCTATTATCCTACTTTTGAAAGTAACATAATTCTTTAACATCATCAAATACCCACTCTGTGTTCAAATTTCCAGTCGTCTGAGCGTGACTCTGCTGTGTGTGTTTTGCAGTCTGTGTGGGACTCATCTGGGTCCTTCCACCGCAAGACCCTTCTGTTGCTCTTCTTCTGAATTTAAGAACTGCTGCTGCTTGGTGCCCAGACCCATTATCTCATCAGGAGTTGCAAATCGGAGCCAGGCTGATAACGATTGCCCTTCTTTCATTACCTGGAATATTTCTGTGATGAGAAAGTCCCCTCCTCTACTGTGAATGTGGTTTGCATAAGACAGTCGGGATCAATGAGTGACTCTCTATCAAGGTGTTCAGATGATGTCTTTGGTTCCCTGGCAGCATAACTGGTCTAACCAACCAGCTCACAGCGTTGGCCCTGTGCTGTGTCCAGTCACACTTGTCCGTCTCCGGCTGTAAGAGCCTCTTCAGGCTGGCCCGCACTCCTTTACAAAAGATGCCTCTGCTCCTTCTGTACCTTTATTGTCCAGGGAGAGAGAGAGCTCAGGACCATAGCTGGGCCCGGGGGAGGCTACTGGATTGGTCTTGTTTCTGGGTCTTTTCAGGGGAGAGGGTTAGGAGCTGTGTTTTGATTTGTTTCAACGATGCTTCAAATTCCACGCGACAGGATTTATCTAACCTCTTCTGTCTTCTGTGTCTCTATTCCGCCCAGTTTTTCACGGCACAGGAGATGATGGATTTAGCGCAGCATGTAGCTTGTGACCCGCTGCTGCGCCCACACCCGTGGCGGCTCAGGAGAGCACGTCTGTGGCATTTGTCGTTCTTGCCCCGAGGGTGAATCTTCAGTCCCTGTGCCTTAGCGCCTCTGGGCGATTGTGCCGCCAGGGAGGTGGTGTGGGTTCATTTGTTTTGTTTTATTTGCGGTGTTTAGAGATGGCTTTTCTAAATTTAATTTTGGTTTAAAATTGTAAGTCCAGAGTCAAATCTCTCAGACAAGGTATATTCCAAGCTTTTAGCTTCCTGTCCCCGTGCCCTCCCTGCAGTCTGGAGGTGACCATCAAAACACGTTCTGGTCCCCCTTCCCGCGTGTGAGAACGACGACTGCGTGGCCTTCTCCCGTTCTTTAGATAAACGGTCGGCTCCTCTCCACCTGTTTCTGCCCCACAGTGTAGCCACGAGGGCAGAGCTGCTGCTTGTTCTTCTGGTCGCCGTGCTGTGCTGCCCCATAGTTGACTCACTGTGGCCCTGTGGTTGGATGTTTGCGTTCTTTCTGGCCTTTTGCTGTGTATTTGCTGGAGGAACTGTGGGTTAGGCTCCTACACATGGGGCCGCTGGACCAAAGGCTTGGGGGGGGGGCATGGCTGGGTCCCCTCCTCTCCGGAGGCTGCTGCATTTTGCATTCCCACCGGCAGGTGTGGGAGGCCTGGGTCCCCCCAGCCTTGCCAACAGGCGGGGGTCAGAGGGTTGGGGCTTTGCCACTTGAGTTGGGTGTGCAGTGGAATCTCCGTGTGCTTTCATTTCCTGTCTCCTGACGTGAGCGAGGCCGGCATCTTTCCTGGCTTTGGGCCGGCAGCGTTTCTTTCCCTCCCCTCCCTCCCACCTCCTCTTCCCTCCCGCTCCTGTCCAGCCCTGGTCCTTCCTTGACAAAGCCAGTCCTGCGCTGCTCAGCCGTGCTCCTGGGAGGGGCCTCTGCCTTCTCGAAGTGCATTGGAGCCTCCTCCCTAGATGCCGGCTCCCTCGGCGCCCACTGCAGTATGGGTTCCCGAGCGTCTTCCCGGCCTCCCCCTGCACCAGGGGCTGCACGCTTGCTCTGCCTGCACGGTACCTGAGAGCCGGCCGCGTTAGGGGGTCTCACTTGCCAGGCCGAGGAGTTTCCAAGTCACCCTGGGGTGACGGGTTGGAACGATGCTTTGGGACCACGGAGCTGAAGGTGGCATGAGGAACACACAGGAGCAGGGTCGTCACTGGAGCTGGCGGCCTGGGGGTGCCTGCAGGCTCGTGTGCCGTGAGCGGGGGGCGGGCACAGTGCCCACGGGTGTGTGTGCAGGCGGCTGTCTCGCAGGCCAGGCTCCCCACAGGGCCTCTCCAGTCTCGTCCCGCACAGGCAGCTGCGGCTGCAGGGAATGATGCTCGGAGCAGGGGCGGGTGTGGGGGCACTGGTGTCTGGGCAAAGCCACCGGCAGCGGTAGTGGTAGCGGTAACGGGTCCTCATCGGCTCCCCCTAGGAGCTGTCCAAGATCACGATGCCCATCGCCTTCAACGAGCCTCTGAGTTTCCTGCAACGGATCACGGAGTATATGGAGCATGTGTACCTCATCCACAAAGCCTCCTGCCAGCCCCAGCCCCTGGAAAGGATGCAGGTGGGCGGCGGGCTCCTTTCGGGGGGAGGGCCAGGCTGGGTGCAGCTTGGCTGGGTGCGGACCGTAGCTTTTAATGAACGTGATGCCATCAGGTTGGCCATGTGGTGGCAGGGACCCAGGCACCTCAGCAGTGGGACACCTGGGAGAAGGGCCAGTGCAGCTTGCACGGATGTTGGGGTGCTGTCCTGCCCCACGGCCAAGGCATTTGTCGTGGGCACGTTCCGCGCGGGCGTGGTCTCGGCTGCCTGGTGGTCGGGGCTGCAGGGCTGCAGCGGGTCGTGGCGCCGGCACTCGGCTCCTCTTGGGCCCTTTCAGCACCATCACCCCACGTGAGTGTGTGTGTGTGCGCGTGTGTGTGCACATGTGTGTGATGGACAGGGCCTGCGAGGTAAGCCCGGGCTGGGGGTGGAAGGCGGCAGAGTTCCTGCTTTCCATGGCTGTGAGGAAGTGGCGGGTGATAAGCAGTGTTTCCCCGGAAGTTCTGCGGTTTCAAACGTGTTACAAGTGGGAGACTGAAAAGGCACCCAGGAGCGAGCGAGCGGGGCACCCTCACCGCCCTGGCTCCCACATTCTGATGGACAGCCGCCCCTCACCAGCCTGTGGTTGTTTCCAGTCTGTAGCGGCCTTTGCGGTTTCGGCTGTGGCTTCCCAGTGGGAGAGGACCGGCAAGCCGTTCAATCCGCTCTTGGGGGAAACGTACGAGTTAACCAGGTAAGGGGACAGGCCCTCGTGACCGTCTCGTGTGTAAGGTGCTTCTGGCGATGGGCAAGGGTGGTTCCTTGTCCAGCATGGATTTCTCCAGGCTGATTGAATTGAGGGGTTTACTGCAGGTGGGAAGATGGTGCACGTACGAGAGCTGTTGTGTTAATGACATAACAGAAGCCCGGTGAAAAAACCGAGTTGAAAACGGAAGAACGCGTTAGGTTCAGGAACGGAGAGGGGATGCCTGGGAGTGTGCAGCGCGGGGTGTCGGGTTGCTGGGTGCTCGTGTTTGGGCATTTCTGCGAGGTGTAGTTTAGTTTGCAGCATCTTTATAAAACCAGTGGCTGTTCCGTGACCGACGCATCCTGGATTCAGAGAACCACACACTTCTGGTTCTTGGGTCCTTTATTGCATATGTGTTATTAATGGTTGAGTTTTTCCAATGGAGAGTAAATGATGGTGGGATTTGGGGATGTTGGACAGCTTAGAATGGGCACTCTTCAGGTTTGTAGAGTGTAAGCGAGTGTGTGTATCTGCACTGGTTTCCAACCATTTGGGGAGGAATTGTCATCTCAGTGATGCGGGCGGCTTGCACACACCTGCCCACACGTCACTTCCCAGGTTGGGAAAGCAACATTCATGTCAGTTTCAAATTCCACTGTTTCTGGCTTGTCCTGGATGGCTCAGCAGCGACCCCTTCTCCACACGCTGCTAGAGTGGGAATTCCCCCTGGTTTTTTAGTGTGGCTTAGAGGTCGGCTGGCACTGAGCGGTGGAGAAGCCGTTCTCCACATCTCATTGCCCTTGAGAAAGCTGGACGAGTTGGGAGAAAGCGTGATGTGTGCTGCTGGGGGGCTTTGTAAGTGACAGGGGTTCCGCACGTGACCTTGGGCTGTGGCATCTCACAGCAAGCGGGGCCATAAGGCACAGCCCTTTCCTTTTAGAAGTGAGGAAGCTGAGACCCAGGCAAGGGAAAGGCTTGCCCCGAGGGTCACTCTTAAGGGGACACTTTTGTCTTGAATTCATGTAGAGTTTCCTCCTTTCTTAGATGTTTCTCTCGAGCAAAAGCTTCCTCCCTCCGGTTAGTTTGCTTTAGTCCAGGGTTCGAGATTCTGACCTTATGTAGCTGTCAGATTATTATTAGCATTTTTGTTTATTAAAAGCATCATCGAAATATCTGAAAAGAGAAATCAAAGCGTAATATGATAAAAGTTGCAGACAAAGGAAAGTAAGCAGATGGATTAAAAGCGTACGAACCCCCCCAAGATGCTGGATACAGAGTGACACCCCTCATTGTTCATCTTTTTTTTTTTTTTTTTTTTTGCGGTATGCGGGCCTCCCACCGCTGCGGCCTCTCCCGTGTGGAGCACAGGCTCCGGACGTGCAGGCTCGTGGCCATGGTTCACGGGCCCAGCCGCTCCGCGGCATGTGGGATCTTCCCGGAGCGGGGCACGAACCCGTGTCCCCTGCATCGGCAGGCGGACTCTCAACCGCTGCGCCACCAGGGAAGCCCTGTTCATCTTTTTCATGAACGTAGTTCAGGGGTTGAACTATAGTTTCACAGGCTGATGGGAAACACTGACATTCTCTCTTAACTGTGTGTCAGGCCTTAACTTCTAGGTCACGCTTACGGTGTCTGCCGCGTGCCACACGTGTGAGACGGAGCCATCTTCCTGTTTGGGGGACAACATAACTAAGCCTGGCCATTCACCAGTGTCTTCTCATCCTTAGAGATTACTCCTGGATAACTAAAAATAACACTTTCTTTTCTTAGACAAGTATTCATTTTGTAAATTACATACCTTGGTAGGCAACCTTTTTAAAATCTAATTTTTCAACTTTCTTTCCTCTGTAATGATTGGAAATTCTGATTCCAGTTAAGTTAGTAATTATGTGGTTGCGCTTTTATAATTGTTAATGACTACAGCTGTAGGTGTATTCAGGGTTCTGGAACAATTAAAAACTGACATTTTTATTGAAAAAGAGAGTGTACTAAAAATCCTATTTCCTGGGCAGGAATATCTTGGGGCATAGGACATTTCATCACAGAAATGCCAGGAGCCTTGAAAGGAGGCTGGAAAGTCCTACTCTGGGTTTACTGGGCAGTGGGCCTCCCTCGAGGACTAAGGTGACAGTTTGCTGTCAGTTCTCTGAGTTCACTGGTTCTGAGAGCTCCTTGTGCACCTGCGCGCAGGGCAGGAGGCCTCTCTGCACTGTCGCTTGTTCTGCGTGGTACTGACTTTGGCCCTGGAGGCACAGCGCATATGCGTGTGCTCTGCGTGTGGCCAGTGTTAGGCCAAGTGTGATGTCAGGGAGCCGTGTCAGATATTTCTGCCACGTGTGACAGCACGCGTGGTCCCCTTATCCCAGCGCCCCTTCCAGACGTGGAGGCCGGGTGGCCGTGAGGTCCTGCAGCGCCACAAGCGCTGAGCTGCAGGCCCGCTGAGAGCGGGTTGGGCTGACCTTTCTGGGCTTTGTTGTCACTGATGAGGCCCTTTGACTGTCCCTCCTGCCCCCTCCTTTCTTTTCCTTGTTTTGTTCCCAGGGAAGACTTAGGGTTCAGGTTCATATCCGAGCAGGTCAGCCACCACCCCCCCATCAGTGCATTTTACTCGGAGGGCCTCCATCAGGACTTCCTGTTTCACGGCTCCATCTACCCGAAGCTCAAGTTCTGGGGGAAGAGCGTGGAGGCGGAGCCGCGTGGCACCATCACGCTGGAGCTTCTCAAGTGAGTGGGCGGCCGCGCATCTGAAGGGAAATCCGTTTCCATTTAGGACGAAGACGTCCTTCTGGTGGAGGGATCCTGCGTGTTCTGCGGGCAGGGAGCCTTTCCAGCGGCAGGGACTTGCTCTAGGGAGGCTGGAGACCTCGTCGGGCTGGCTGTTCCTGGGGGTCCTCCTCACATTTGACCGTGTTGGGTCCCGTCTTCTCTCCCCTGATCTCTGCGGTCTGGTCCCTGTTCGTGGTCATCACCTCCGGCTGCGTGACAGCCCCAGCTCAGCAGTGTGAAACGGCACTGTCCTCCCCCGGTGTCTGGGGGCTGGAGGGCAGGGGCAGCGTGGGTGGCTCTGCCGGGGTTCTGTGCGGGCGCAGCGGGAGGCCTCCTGAAGACAGGTGGGAGGAGCCTCTGCTCCCGCGTTCACTGTGCCGGCAGCTGGCAGGGGCCCTCGCTTCCTTGCCACCCTCTGCTCCATACGGCTGTGCAGACGAGGCACTGGCATCCCCCAGAGCTGGGGCCCGGGGTGGTGGGCAGACCACCACCGGGACAGAACCTGCAGTGTCTTCTGTGACCTGACCTCAGAAGTGAACACAGCCCTATGTGCACGTGCTGCCGGCCACGCAGCCCAGCCCTGCTTGAGTGTGCAGGGTGGGAGGCCGGGCTTGACCACCAGGAGGTGAGAAGGAAGGGGCTGTCTTCCAGGATGCCCGAGCACTGTTAAATCTAAATCTAAACGTGCCCAACCCGATGGTGATCAAAGACCCTCAAAGCAGAAACTGAGTCTCTAGCAACCGCCTGGTGCTGCAAACCCGAGGGGGCGCAGCCGGCTCCCTGTGGTGTGAGCCTCGCTAACCGTAGCCCCCATGGGAAGCTTCTGATGTCATTGCACTTCCTGTGGCCCCGCCGGGCTGGAGGAGCGTGGTCTTCCCAGTACCCACCCCCCATCCCCTGCACCTCGGGGCAGATGAGGTCACCCAGGCACGGTGAGGGCGGCCCCTTCCTGGGGAGGGTGCCTGTCCTGTCTGTCCCGAGCTCTTGGCTTTCTCGGGTGAGGCACGGGGAAGTGAAAGGTCACAAACCTTGTCAATTAACACCTTTGGGTTCCTGGGAAATTCAAGGAATTCCAAATATTCATCACGAAATGCTTGTGCTTTGAGCTGCTTTTTGCCCTGAATTGTGGCTCTTTGAGGCAGCCTCCCTTGAGACACACGTCTGGCCACATCTGCTCAGCACCTGTTTGTGGGGTCCATACGCAGGTCCCCAAACGGCCAGGGCCACGCGCTGGGGACCTCGCGGTTCCTGCAGGCTGGGGTGGAGGGGCTGTGCTGTTGAGGGCTTCACAGGAAACCTCTTGCCTTTGTCTCAGCCTTTTCTTGCTTATTAACTTGTCCTGACATTTAAGTAGAAAGCTTTTTTGCTGCTACAAAGGAGAGAAGAAGGACATTTCAAACGAATGCTAAAGAAGTAGCCCCTGTTCAGGGAGTTCAAAGCGGTATTCTGCTCTTCTGCAGGTTTTAAGTCAATTACGGTTTGAATCTGTCTGGTGTTTTGCTTTTGAGGTCGCACAGCGTCTTTGCTTCGCTGGCCTCTGACTTGCTGTTCTCTGGCGTCTTTCAGACATGATGAAGCCTACACGTGGACCAACCCTACCTGCTGTGTCCACAACGTGATTATCGGGAAACTCTGGATAGAGCAGTACGGGACGGTGGAGATTGTGAACCACAGGTAACGGCCCCCGACAGTCGTGCAGCGGTCAAAGCCAGGGTGGCGGTGCAGCACCCAGAGCACCAGCTGGCACTCAGCCCGTGGTTTCACGCTGCTGTCGGCTTCTCCGGGCCCCTCCCTGGTCCCCCGTGCCCCTCGGCCTCCAGACGGGCCTCACTGGCTGGGAGGCCCCACACGTGGCGGTGGTTGGATCTGATTCTGGTTGGCACTGATCGAAGTCATCATTACTGCTCTGTGTTGATATTTCTTTGGTTTTAGTCACAAGAGGGAATTTATTTTGAAATTTTAAACTACACTGAAGAATGGTGTGACTCCCTGATGAAAATAGAGTGACCGCTCTCAAATCTTGTCCACTGTCCAGTCTGTCAGGCCTTATTCCTAGAAGTTCATGGCTGGTTGGCTTTGTTATATCTATTAAGATGTAATTTACGTGTCATAAAATCCACCAGGTAAAGTGGACGCTTACATGGTTTTTAGTAAATCTACTGAGTTGTGCAACCATCGGCACAAGGAAGTGCTCGAAGCTTTCCATCCCCCGGAAAGATCCCTGTGCTGTCCACTGGTCCTGATGCTGCCCAGCCCTGGGCAGCCTCCAGTCTGCCCACTCTCTCCCACCCTCCCTCCCTCTTTTCTCTCTCTCTCTTTCCTGGATGTTTCACGTCTACAACAGAAGCCTGTGTTTGTTTTCCCTGCAGAAATGGAGATAAGTGTGTGCTTCACTTTAAACCGTGTGGATTGTTTGGAAAAGAACTTCACAAAGTGGAAGGGTACATTCAAGACAAAAAGTAGGTCCGCGTGTGGGTTGGGCCACAGGGTGCCTGGATGGCGTGTGTGTCTCTGCAAAAGACATAGTTGTGCCGGTGACATCTGCCGGGGAGGATGAGTTATGACTCTTTCTTGTTTAGCAAAAGCATTTCATTACTGAGCACAGAAGGAGATAATGATGAATTTTAAGTGCACCATTCAGGGTGGTGACTGATGGAGCCCAGCTTCCCCTTCTTTGAGGGTAAAAGATCTGGGTCTGTTTTCTTTTGATAAAATGGATGCGAGAAAGTTCAACATTTTCACTGAGAGATAAAACTGCAGTTGTGCAAACAGGACTGAGATTTTAGAATTTGACCCTTCTCTCTCCTGGCGTCCATAACGGTTGTCAGGCAAAACCCAAACCCGAGCTCATGAGCACCATTCTCATGTGACTTGTTCATTCCAATTTGGAAATTTGGGGCTTTTAAAGTTTTTGTGAGCAGAGGAATGGCCACTAGTAATTTTAACAAATTGGGGGGGGTCCCCCACGTTATGTGTTGGGTCTCAATTTCTCTCTGTCTCTTTTTTTTTCAATAAGTAACTTGGGCTGTATAACAGCCATAAGATTCCTTCCAGCTCCTGAAATATAGACATTTTCGAGTAGAAAGAAGTTTCCACTGTAAAGCAGTGGGTGCTTTTGTTCCATCCCACTCTACTGGGTACCAGAAATTCACCTGTTCTAATTCCTTAAAATACCTTTAGACGTAAGACTCTGACCACTTCGCCCCTTGAAGTAAGTTAGGACCTGGTGTGTGGACTTCACGGGGCAGCATTCCTGTTAGTGGGAATAGCACTGACCTGCCCTGTGGTCAGCTCATCCACAGAAGCAGGCCGCGGGAGCGGACGCCCACCGGCACTCAGTGAGCCATGCCAGTCCTGTTCTGAGTTTCCGGTTTTCCGCCCTACGTTGGATGCTCTTTCCTAATGTTACGTCTCTTGGAGACAGAGAGCGTCTGCCAGGCTGTCTGCCGAGTGAGGTCTAGCCACGTGTCCCTGCCTGCTGGCCCTCCCAGCACATCCCGCGGCGGGCGGGGCAGCCTTTCCAGGGAGCGCGTTGCCAACTGTATGGTCTCCCCCAAGGGAGACGTGGGAAAGAGAAACAAGGGCCCAGCACGGCTGGCACCACTCCTTTGGACTCAGGCAGAGAGCTCTGGTGGCTGATCTGGAAAGAGCTGTCGAGGTTATTACGAAATGAAAGATGTGGGCAGACAGCGACGGGGCATCTGACTTGAGGTCACGAAGATAAAGCAGAGGCCACATCAGCTGAACATGGGGAGGGTTGTTTATGTGGTTTATAGAAAAAGGGCCGCAGGACACACGGTACCTAAAAATGTAATGTATTTCAAAAATAACAATCGGGCGCGCAAGGTGTTAAATGTAATAACGTCGTACACTTGTTCTCGCATCATCTCGTCTCCTGCGGCCCGTCTTTCGCCCTTCAGGTTTTTGTACCTTCATTTTCTCTTTTCTGCTTTTGTGAAGGAATGTGAATAGTTAGTCTCAAAAGCCACGAGTAAGAGATGCTAAAATGAAACTTTTCATCTTTGCATTTACACCCAGCAACATCCCTAAAACTTATAAGAAGACATGCCAGAACGAGAATTTATTCCATGGTCACAGTTAAGGTGCTGCACGTTTAGATGAACGGTTTATAATTGTTAACTGGTAACTTGGTTTTAAAAAATTCCGTTTGACTACAGCAAAAAGAAGCTCTTTATGATCTATGGCAAATGGACGGAGTGTTTGTGGGGCCTGGACCCTGCTGCGTACGAGTCCTTCAAGAAGCAGGAGAGGAGAACTGATTCCCTGAGGAAGACAAAGCTGGTGAGCGGCTCCGTGCGGCGTCCCCCGCGGGTGGGTGGGTGGGTGGAGCCTGGCCGGGCCTGCCGCTTGCGGGGGACACGGTGCCTTCGTGGCCCCGGCTGCAGAGGGCGAATCACGGAACCTGTCTCTCAAGCAAAGCTGCTTGTCTTCTGATTCTGGACGGGGGTGGAGTCCACCTGCGTCCCAGTTGTGCCTCTACCCGCCCGAGCCTGGCGGAAGCAGAGGATACGTCCATTTTCCTCTGGATACTTCTCTCTTTTTGTGGCCACACTGCGAGGCACGCGGGATCTAGTTACCGACCAGGGATCGAACCCGGGCCCCTGCAGTGGGAGCACAGGGTCTTAGACCACTGGACCGCCAGGGAAGTCCCTCTTCTGGATACTTCTTCGTAAATCTCCTGTTTCCCTGCACCTTGTGAGCTTAGACCCATTAAACGAGCAAGTGGATGTCACTTCTGCGTTTCTAGTTCTGAGTACCAGGTAACATACCCAACAGTTGGAAAGTTTTCACAAGGATACTTTCCCCTTGGAACTTTGGAATACTGATTTTCTTTTTTTATAATTAATTAATTTATTTATTTATTTTTGCTGTGTTGGGTCTTCGTTTCTGTGCGAGGGCTTTCTCTAGTTGCGGCAAGCGGGGGCCACTCTTCATTGTGGTGTGCGGGCCTCTCACTATCGCGGCCTCTCTTGTTGTGGAGCACAGGCTCCAGACGCGCAGGCTCAGTAGTTGTGGCGCACGGGCCTAGTTGCTCCGCGGCATGTGGGATCTTCCCGGACCAGGGCTCAAACCCGTGTCCCCTGCATTGGCAGGCAGATTCTCAACCACTGCGCCACCAGGGAAGCCCTGGAATACTGATTTTCTTAAGACTAGTTCTTCTTGAGCTTGAAAGTAGAAGTGATAGTTCAAAAGAGGTGTCACATTTTTCTAGGTGATAAATTAGACTGTACCAAACCCGAGGTGTTCATAACAAAATGTTCAGCTGCCACTGGGATCGATAGTGCTTTTTGTTTGTTTGTTTGGCCATGCCACGTGGCATGTGGCATGTGGGATCTTAGTTCCCTGACCAGGGATTGAACCTGTGCCCCCTGCAGTGGAAGCGCAGAGTCTTAACCACTAGACTGCCAGGGAAGTCTCCTGTTAGTGTTTTTTATATTGTGATATTTCATGGGTGCTATTAGACATCGTTTCTAATAATGCTCTTTTAAACTGAAAAAAGAAAAGTAAAGTTCCATTTAAAGACCATCCAGTGGAATGTTAACTCCATTTAGTGGTGTGTTTTAATGCGTCAGCTTGGCTTTGTCGCCCCTTAGGGAACCTCGCAAGGAGGGAGCGTTTTGTGGATACTTGTCACTGAGCTGTGTCTTTATTTAGCTTCGGGCACCAAAGCACATAACCTGCGGGTGGCGTGGCGAGGCCTCCAAGGCTGCGCTTCTCACAGTTTAAGTGTCTCGCTTCACAGCTGCCTGAATAACCACCCTGTTCTTCCCCTTCGTCCCGTTGATTTTGAAAAAGAAGTAGCAGTTGCACCTTTTTATCGAGACGTGATCCCCAGTCTAGAAACGCTAAAACACTCTGAAATCACCAAGTGCGAACCCCGTCTCGACTGAGCAGAAGCGCAGCTCGTGGCGGAATAACCATCTGGGAGAGGCATCCTCAGCTTCCGTAGGAGGTGTTGCCCCGTCCGGTCACACCCAGAAGGCTGTGCGGGCCCCCCCCCCACAAGGAGGGCGGTGCCTGGCTGCTGTCTCGGGGGCTCCGGGCGGGGCTGGAGGGGCTCCGGGAGCACCGAGATGCTGTGTCTTTCAGGACGACTGCCCCGAGAAGGCCGACGGTGATGTGGTGGACGCCGTGCCGGAGGCTCAGGAGACGGTGCAGGTCATTCCGGGCAGCAAGCTACTCTGGAGGGTCAACACCCGGCCCCCCAACTCTGCCCAGGTCCGCGCCCCCCCGCCCCAGCCAGGCCCCCCAGCCGTCCACCGTCGCCCGAGGGGCTCCCTGCCCTCCAAGCCCTGACCCGACACATCAACACTCTGCACACACATCCCAGTGCCCGGCTACACTGCGAGCCCTCAGAGCCTATACCGGCTGCGTCCTACCAAAAGGGTTTCCAAACCAGTTTCGAGAGACGATTTTTCTGACTCGTCAGTTTAGGTGCTTAAATGCACTTTGATGTTTGTTTTTGAAAATTGCACTTATGATTTGCATTACATATAATAAATTTATTAAATGTAATGCAAAATTATAAGTACAATTAAATATAATTTAATTATAATAAATATAATAAATTTATTTATAGTAATGTATACTATGTAAAAATAATTATATGCTAACTATAACACATGTAATAAATTATATTTTATTTTAATATATTATAAGTTATATGTTAGTTATATATAAAATACATACACAACATGCTATAAGATTTTTTATTGTATTGTCACATGCTATAAGCAAAGCACAGCAGGTGCAAAATAAAGGAAACAACAAAACATTCGTCGGTCAATACGTTACCTCAGCACAGCCACTGTTATAATTTTAGTGGAGTACAAGCTAGTATAAAGTAATAGCAAAAAAAGCTCATGTTTAAAAATAACACTCATCCCTTTGGTTCAGTGAGCATCTACTGAGTCGGTGCGGGTGGGCCCAGGTCACCGGGAGCAGAGCCCAAGGACAGGGCAGGCGAGGACCCCGCCCACACAGCAGAGCCACCGGCCTGATGGGCTGGGGGCGGGCCTCCTGGGCCCTGGCGACCTAGAGCAGGACCTGGGGGAGGCGGGGGTGGGGGGCCGTGGCCATCCAGCTGCTTTCCGGCAGGGGAGCGGCTGGGCCCGAGCCCCACTGCTCCTGTGAGTGATGTGGGGTTGTTTGGGCAGCGAGGGGACCAGGTGGGCCCCTCTGGCCACTTGTGGAGATAGACTTCAGGGGCCAGAGCGGGAGGGAGGCCAGGTGGGAGGCGGGTCCCCAGGTCTGGGCTGTCGGGAGGCAGAGGCTGGGGGGCCGTGGGCGCAGCAGCCCCCCCCCCCCAGAGGAGCTGAGCCGGAGGCTCCCGTCCGGCCCCCAGGATGTGAGAGAGCAGATGTGCGGGTGGGAAGTCAGGGTGAGGGCCTGGGTGCCCCGCGTGGGGGCGGAGGGGAGGGGCCCCAGGCGAGTGCGTGTCAGGGCAGGGAAGGAGCCCCGGCCCCGGTGACCTTGACAGCAGTGTCTCCATGGAGCCGGTGACACTTGGCTGCTCTGAAGGGGTTTAGAGTGTCGGTGGCCTCCAACTGTGAAGAGTGCACAGAAAAGAGTGCCATTTATAGTAACGATTTCTGTGCCTGCTCCTCCAGATGTATAATTTCACGAGCTTCACGGTTAGTCTGAATGAACTGGAGACGGGCATGGAGAAGATCCTGGCCCCCACCGACTGCCGGCTGCGCCCTGACATCCGAGGCATGGAGAACGGCAACATGGGTGCGTGGCCCTGGCTGAGTGGGCGGGCGCTGGAAGGGAACGCATCCGCGTTAACCAGCCACACTTCACGTCTTGTAGATCGTGCTTCTCAAACCGTCTGTGGGGAAAGAGTTAAAAAATTTCTAGTTTGCTGCAGCCCAATTCTTCTCTAAATAAAATAAGATTGAATTACTAGGAAAATTAAATGAAAAAGAATCCGTGCAAAATGCAAGTACCCTGTCTTCTTATTAGGTTCAACAGACAGTAAGATTACATTTCAGAAGCTGCACACATTGTTATTTAAAAGTCGCTTGGCTGGAGGGCCCCCCCAGCATGCCCGCCTAGGCCCGAGGCCCCTCTGCCTGCCGGGCTGGGCCGCGCTGGGGTCTGCGCTGGCATCCGGACCTGGCCGTGCACTTGTGCACTCGTGCCTGGGTTTGGTTTCCCGCTGACGGCCTTTACTGTCTGTGGTTTGCTAACCCACGTGTGACTTTTCATCTGGGGTCGGGTGTGAGGGGTGCTCCGGCATCTGCTCTCTCAGCCCTCAGCTCTGCCTGTCACCCTGAGCCCTGACCCAGTCCCCTGTGCTTGCACCCAGATCTGGCGAGCCAGGAGAAGGAACGGCTGGAGGAGAAGCAGAGGGAGGCCCGGAGGGAGCGGGCCAGGGAGGAGGCCGAGTGGCAGACGAGGTGAGACGCCTGGTGGCCACGAGGGCAAGGAAGGGGGAGGGGGCCACACACCCACCGGGGCTCAGCAGAAGCTCCCCTGTGTCCCATAAGATGGTGGCCGGCAGCTCTGGGCTGCGTGTAAACTGATGTGTGATGTGATGATGCCTAATTAGAGGGGCCGTGATCCCAGGGGGAAGAAAAGACCAACGGCCGTGTCTTGTCCACTGGCCTCCTGACCGCCTGCTCTGTGTCGCAGGTGGTTTCACCGAGGCAGTAACCCGTACACTGGGACCCCCGACTGGCTGTACGTGGGGGGCTACTTTGAGAGGGATTTCTCAGGCTGCCCAGACATCTACTGAGAGAGCGGACCGGCCCCCGGCCCCGGAGACCCGAGAGGCTAGACTCCACCAAGTGGCTGCTCTGAGCTCCGGTCACAGCAGAAGCCAGCTTTCTAACGGCTGTGCGTGGAGATGGCTCCATCCCTGGCTGAGGATTTAATTCTAATCAACTTTTGATTGCCAAACATTTTACTACTGTTGCAGTCTCTTCATAAAGCTTCACTTGGGATCATCATGTTTCCATTAAGGTTTGAAAAGGAAAATTCGTTACAGTTCCCTTTTATGTGACAGAACCAGCGCTGGGGCTGGTGTAGCTTACAGCACCCTCTTAATTACAAAAGTTATAAATAAAGGAAGTAACAGGACGGGGTCCACATTCCTCCTTATAACGCGGTGGCAAAGTGTTTCTGAAAGTATTTTAAATTTGAACCAGTATCAGGAAAAGATGGATCTTGAAAAAAGTCCCACCAAGTGCTTTGTAACGGCCAGGAATTGCTTTCTAGATTACAGTGACGCAAAAGTGAAGATTTTCAAAGCATCTGATTGAATGAAATGAAAAGTTGTCAGAGTCTGTATTTTTTATCAGTCTTCAATAATGTAAAGATTACTTTTGATATTTAAGTTCAAACTACTTGAAGAATATTTTGCTGAAGAGCACGATAGGCATTAACGTCACGTGTACACTGTCCAAAATGAAGCATTACCATGACAACCGAGGGTGGCCAGAAACCTTGACAAAAAGTCCCCAGACGGCTCCCAACCCCGACAGGTTTGGGAGCCCGCCTCTGGCCCCCAGGGCTCCCCTGTCACTGCAGGCCACACCCACGTCACAGAGCGAGTCTCTCACGACAGTTGGCCTGTCCCTGCAGCACCTGTGCTCCTGTCCTGCATGTGTGAAATACGAGGGACCCACCTCTGGGGGCACCGAGGCGGGGGGGTCCTAGCAGTCTGCTTCCAGTGGTGTCATTACCGTTGTGTGTCCATCTCTGCACACATCTGCACCAGTGACTGTTTACCTTCTGTAGAGAAGCCAACACCACCGGTCGTCGCAGAGCTCTTTGAATTGAAGACAATCTGCTGTGTGCACAGACGCACACCTGCACGCACACGCGCACACACACGCACCTGTATGCAGTGGTGGGTTCTCAGTGAGAGGGTGTCGGCATTTTGTGTCCCAGCTTCAAAATCACGTTTGTAATTAAAACACTTTTAAAAGCAAATCGTTGCTCTGAAGGCTTGGTTCTGTAGCTTCGGAAACCCGAGGCGTGGTATTGGGGTCGAATCCCAGCGCATTTGCTCGATGGGACCCGAGCTGGGCCGCCGGCGCCACACGGAAGCCCCCGAGGATGTGATCTTGACGTTATGCAGAGAGGAGATTTTGACACACCCGGTTGTTAGGATGTGGGGAGTCCTGTGCCTCTGGTCGGGAGGCGGCGGCGGTGGCCTCCTTGCCCAGGGAGCGTGTGGGGGACCCAGGACGCATTTAGAACAACAGTGTTTAGGGCAGTTTGACAACCTCCATGGACTATCCCATTTGTCACCACCTCCAATAATTTACCATAAGGTTTGCATCTCTAGGTCCTCCCTGAGGTCAGATTCCACGTGGCCCCAGTAGCTGCTTCCTTCGCACCCGATTCAAGAGTCAAAGGACAAAGGGCAGGATGGCCGATGACCTCAAAGCATGGCCGTCGTGATCCTTTAACCACTGTGTCCACAGATGCTAACACTGACCAAAGCTGCCCCCTCAACTTGGCCGCCGTGACACACTGGGATGTTGGGTGTTTCTCTCTAATGAAGAGCTTTTCAGTGGAATTTGCTTTTTAAAGGACGACCTCCCACGACCGATGTGTCTGGCCCGTGTGGAAAGTGGTGGCCTTGTCGTCGGCCCCCAGTTTGTGACTGTGGCTTTGAGATAGGGCCCGGGTGCTTTTCAGAGCAGTCTTGTAACTCAGGACGTCCTTGTGGGATGAAAAGTAGAGCACACTTTACCCGAAGAACTTCACGTTTTGATTTTGCTCCCCCTTGAAGGTAGGATCCAGTCACATGTCCATCGATTCAGTGCACGTTTACTGAGAGCCACTGGAGAGTTAGCCGCACAGACGTCTCAGAGCATGTTTCATGGAAGAGAGAAACGTTACGTGCACGCCGGTGCTGGCTAGATTTAACAGGCCACCTGCTGTTGGTGACCAATGGTCGTGCCTGGGTCGCTGTGCCACACAGGTCCGTCCCAGGAGTGGTACTGCTCTCCCTGGCGGGGTCAAGGGTCAGGGCATCCCCAGCACTGGCTGGCCGGCTGCGGGCCCCGGTCGTGAGAAGGCATCGGAGAAGCGGGCCCCGGACCTCATGGGCATCACCGCGTTCGGCCACTCCGGGCTGCCACGAAAGCCAGGACCCTCCGGGATATAGCATGGTGGCTCTGGAGGGGGTGAAACGAAGGTGCCAGGCGGACCTCTCAGCCTCCACAGGGAAACGGAAGCCGGCAGTGGCCCCAGGCAGGGCCCCTGAGGAGCAGCTCCGATGGTTTTCTTGGCCACAGTCTCCGTTTCATAGTCTGTCCCCAAGGATGATGCTTGGGCTCGTGGAAGGATCTTCCCGAAACACGGGGAGAAGAACCCAGCACAGCGCCGATGGCCTCCGGGCACCCGGGCCGATGCTGCCGGCCACTAGTGCCAATGAGCGTGGAGCTGTCCAGCTGGAGGCGTTGCCATCTGCTTGCTGGGTCCTCGTCAGGACCTGAGGCCAGGAAATCAGAACAGGACGAGAGAAGGGCCGGGCATCTCCCGCGAGCCAGCCAGCCCTCCGGGTCGCCCCAGCAAGAAGCTTCCTCTCAGGACACCTGCTCCTGGGAAAAGGTGCTGCCCGCGGAGCTGGGGATTTACAGGCTTGGCAAGTCTCACGCATCCACCAAGAACAATGAAATGAAGACATCGTTTAAAATGCTAATAAGCTTCCAAAAATCGGAAGCGAGAATAGCCCTCCTCCTGTCTACCCTTGCGCGCTAGAAGGGGAGGGGACTGCTCAGTGAAGCCTCGCGTCCTGTGTGGAGCTATCGGCCCTGCAGGAGAGTTCAGTCAATAGACAGTTCCTACTGGTCCTGGCTTCACCTTCCAAAGGATCTTCCTATGTCCAAAGTGGGTGCGAAGATTGGGGTCCCCTGACAAAAGGGCCTGTCACCAGACCTGCAGGACATCAAGTGGTGTTTCCCTCGGTACGCGTCATCTTTGGGCCTATCTCGTACGTTCTCAGTGTCGGTTTCTTCGCAAAGTGAAAATGCCATTTTGGTATTTCTCGGTACGAGTTTCCTGGACCTTCAGCCCTCAACAGGATGCACTGCTCCATTCCGTCTTTGTGAACCAACCACCCTGGGCCAAACGTCTGGTGAAGGGCTACTTGGTCTCTGCAGAGGGTGACAACGCGCAGACAGGCGCCTTCCTCCATTGTCCCACGAACACTGTTCGTCCTATCCGTGCAGCACGAAAACGTCAGGCGAGAAAACACGTAGTGAAACGGATTTATTGTTATAATTTTATAATACATAATAACTGTCAGTATTCTTCTATATAAACAGAATCGACCATTCTCAGATTTTTGGGGAGGCCTGGACAGATCTGTGGAGATAAATGTTAAACCCTAGCCCTGAATAGAGATTCTTTGCAAATGGGTGGTAGTTGACATTTGTTTTGTACTGAACAATTTTTCGCTGTCTGCTGCTCTGTCTCCTCTGGCGAGGACTGCAAAGCAGCTGTGGACGTGTCCTTGAGACCAGGCGTCAGACCTTTGGCCTGTGTGTTCTGTAGGGTGGCCCAGTTAACGGATTGTTTCAGAAAACTGCTTGCTACAGCGAAGAGGGGGCTCAGGGGCACATGAGGTGGATGAAGGGGTCTGGGTTCTCTGGGCAGCAAGGAGCTCTGATGGACTCTCTTCCCTCCTGGGGGTTGGAGCCTGTTGCTGGAAGCAACGGAATGCCCAGAACACAGTGTTCACTTGACTCAGAGGTCCCTGTGCCCGACCTGCTGCCCTAGGTGCCCAGCAGCTGTGCGCTTCCCAGGAGGGTGAGCTGAGAGGAGGTGGTGATCCCAGTAGCCACGGTGGCTCCTGGCAGAGGGACAGACTGTCCACACGACTTTAATGTCCTGGGAATGCCCAGGTGCATAGATGTGGGGCTCCACCATGGCCATGGTGTCTGACTGTGGGGACCACAGGGCATCAGCCCTGCCAGAGCCCGGGCCTGGTGTCCTGGGTGCTTAATCTCCACAATTACCATCCAGTCTGACCCATCGAGGAGGAAGGGGAGGCGCAGGAAGGTGGGCTTGCCTGAGGTTTCAGAGCAGGTAAGTAGAGGACATGGAATTCAAACCCTGACATACAGTGAAACTCACCCTTGTGTGCAGTTGACAGATTCACACCATCTTGTAACCATCAACGCAATCAACATGTATAGCTTAATGGCAAGGTTCAAGTGGGAAAGGACTGTTTTTCAACGAATGGTGTTGGGAAAACTGGATATTTACATGCCAAAGAACAGAATTGATCCTGACCTCACACCATATACAAAAATTAACTCAGAAGGGATCAGAGATCTAAACAACAAAACTCTCAGAAGAAAGTATAGAGCACAGAGTTCACAACTTTGGACTTGGGAATTATTTCTTGGATATAACACGAAAGGCACAGGCAACAAGAGAAAAAAAAAAACCAGACGAGTTGGACTTTATGAAAATTGAAGCACATTTTGTGCGTCAGACTCTAGCATCAGAGTAGAAAGGCAATGGGAGAGAATGTTTGCAAATCAAGCATCTGAGCGCAGGTTAATATCTAGAATACATAGAGAACTCCTAAAACTCAGTAGCAACAAAAAAAGCCTGATTCAAAAATAGGCAAAGGACTTGCATAGACATTTTTCCAGAGGAGATACACCAATGGCCAGTAAGCATGTGAAAACACACTCAGCACCGTTAATCATCAGAGAAATGAAAAAGCTACAACGGGGGCTTCCCTGGTGGCGCAGCGGTTGAGAGTCCGCCTGCCGACGCAGGCGACACGGGTTCGTGCCCCGGTCCCGGAAGATCCCGCGTGCCGCGGAGCGGCTGGGCCCGTGAGCCATGGCCGCTGAGCCTGCGCGCCCGGAGCCTGTGCTCCGCAACGGGAGAGGCCACAACAGTGAGAGGCCTGCGGTACGCAGGCC